TTGGACCGGGACTCATGGTCCCTTGAGGCTCGGACACTCGGGTTTGTCACGACGCGCTAGAATGAGTTGTTTCGTTTGATTTTGAGACTTAAAGCCTGTTAACAGAGAAGAAAAATGAAAGTTTAATGCTCTGTGTTGTTTGGCTGTGAACTTGAGTCTGTGAAGGGAATTTTGGCTTTGAGTATATGAATGGTTGAGTAGTATGCTTAATACTATGTTAACTCTTGTTGAGAAAATTTGCTAAGTTATTGAATTTATTGGCATGAAACAGTGTAATTCCAACTTTACAGTGAATGAACATTTTTAGCATATTTCAAAGATTAAGTACATCGAAGGCTCTAAGTAAAGCCTAAGTCCTATTTCAAAACCTATATCTATTTTGGAAAATCTATATCTTTTGCATTGAGAAGTTTGCATGATAAATTGATTTCCAAAATGTGAGAAAGAGAAGTTATTTGAGATTTATGTGCATTGAGAAGCTTGCATAATAGTGAGATTATTTGCATGAGAAGAGAAGTTGCTTGAGATATATAGGTTATCTATATGTGAGTAAAACCTTATTTTGGAGGTCCCGTTAGGACTATGTCCTTTCGGAAGAAAAGAGAAAGAAAAAAGTTTGAGAAAAGAAAGAGACGGTCACAAAGGACCGACAAACAGTTATAAAGTAACTTGGTCGATATTCCCGAGTTGCTAGGTTAGATACTACCCGCCGGGCTTGGAATCCTGGTTAGGGGGTGTGCACACTGAGAAGTACGATACCTGATTCCACAAAGATTTTATAAGAACCAAGATTACCGGTTCTGTGGGCGAGATGAGTATTAGGCCGGCTAGATGCCGAGCCCGGATAGGTTCATTCACGATTCGTGAAGTTCCTACCTCGCTCGCGAGTTTAGAAAGAAAGCAAGAAAGAAGAAAGAAGAGAAAAGTGAGTCAAAAAGACTCAGCAGTGATCCTCCACAAAAAAATGTTCCTTTTTATATAAAGAGCGAGAGTATATCTATATATTTATAGCATCATGTTCTATTCATATCATGACTTAACATATGTTAGATTTAGAGCATTTGAGAAGTACATTCTTATTGTTGTTTGAGAGTTAGCATGATAGCATAATCTTACTTGTTGAATTTCAGTTATCTCTTTATCTATCAGTATGAGTGTGAGTAGTGCATGATAGACTATAGTTGGAGATATCTATTTATAGCATGTGAATGTGTTTAAGAATGAGCTATGAGTTAAAGCATGTTTTTATGAGTTATAGGCTGCAAGCATATAGAAGTGTTTATGTATATCTATTGAGACTTGTTGACTAAGTGTTGTAACTGTTTATGTTCATACTTGAGACTGCGTGTGAATGAGAAATGTTTTCCAACCTATATCTATAGTACTTTGCAGGGTTGAGTGACTTTATACTTAGCATTAATTTGCTAACGGGTTTATTTTCCTACTTGTTTTATAACCCCTTTCAAGTGTGCCTAGTTCTTGAGAGCGCACGTGATAGTTGAGTGCGTAGTTCTAGATTTCTAGTTGTAGTAGTTACTAGACCAGTACCTTTTGTTTAGTAGTACTTGTAACTGGTTGAGTTGTTGTAGTAAACTATCTTTTGATGGTGCGTAGACACCGGGGTTTGTTCCCCACGATTATGATATTTTGTAGAGCTTTTGACTCTAGTTTTGTTAGCTGTTTTGTAGCCTGTGCAGTTACCGTGAGTGGTGATTGTGGCGGTGACACCCTTTTAGCTTATCGAATGGCTGGTTATTTAGTTATCTAAGTTATGCTTAATTATCTTAGTTAAGTTTGTTTATCGGGATTTAGATTTTAGAAAAAGGAGGTGTTACACCACCTGGAGATCTTAGTTTCAAAATCTCAAAACTCATTTTCTCTTTGCACGAATTTTTATGAAAATGGATCATCATCTGTCTAAACATCTTATATTTAATCTCTCCAAGTTTGATGATTGAAAAGTGCACATGCAGACACATCTATCAACCTTACATGATGAAATGTAGGAAGTGATAACTGATGGTTCGATCAAGATCATGACGATCAACAAAATGTGGGAAGTGATAACTGAGGGTTCGATAAAGATCATGACGATCAATACAAACCGAGCGGTGGAAGGACCAGATGCATCGTAATACATCCCAAAGCCGAGGCATCAATGGTCACTAGAGGATCATACAAGGAACAACCTCAACAACATAGCAAAAGACATACTATTCAAGATAGTAGACAAGACATTGTTTCAAGATAGTAGACGAGACATTGTTTCCAAGGATTTGGAAGTGCGCATTTGCCAAGGACATATGGAATGTCTTAGTGTAGATTAGCAAGGGCGACGAGTAGAAAAAAGAGAACAAGCTGATCATCGTAATGAAAAAGTTCGAGGACTTCAAGATGGGAGCAACAAAAACCATAGCCGAGATGGAAACTCGGTTTATGAAGCTGCTCAGTGAGGTCGCTAACCTTGGAAAGGGGCTCAGCCAGAAGGAGATCAACCTCAAGATTCCCCGAGGTCTTCCCAAGTCATGGGAGATGACAATCATCGCGATGCAAGACCACCGAGACCTCAAAGCCATCCAGATATCCAAAATATTCAGCGATTTGAAGGCGTATGAGTTTAAACGAGAATCGAGACGGGACGAAGAGCCCGAGACGAGAAATGTGACACTAGTTGCTCATCAACAACCATCCACATTATCTAGGTCAAACTCTAACCCTGTTGATTTTTTAACTAACGAGCAATTTGCCATGTTTGTCATGAAATTTAAAAGGTTCATGAGGAAGAACAATCCTCAAGACTCTCCAGCCACACCAAGCTCATCCAATCGAAGACACACCGAGGAGTCAAGATTCCGAGGAGTTGTTGATGTTATGCTACAACTGCAGGAAACCAGGGCACTTTAAGGCGGAATGCCTATATCCAGTGGTCCGAAAGCACCAGGATCAATCGAGGAGCTTTGGAACTGAAAGCAACTCAAGGAACACACTAGGAGAAACGAGTGGTCGAAGCACCAACCACTCGGGCAGTCACTCCAAGGGTGACAGGAGTAGAAAGCACTTGTGACCGAAGAGTCAGCCGAGAAGCAATCCTTGAACAGTGCACCTCTAGTCGAGCTCAGAAAGCGAGAACCCAAGCGATGAGGAGGGACTCATCTACCTCTACAACATGATATAAATACAAAATAACTAAGGTATCTCTCAATAATTTGAAATTTTAAAATGCATTATTAATATAATAATTTATTAGTGGTGGACTAAATTTGCCACTTTACACATAAATAAAGGGGAAAATTTGTGTATGCTAATAATTCATGGATCGGGTCTACAATATATGTATAATTAATGGACCAACATAATCTATTAGTGGTGCACTAAAATTGCCACTTTACACATAATTAAAGGAGAAAATTTGTGTATGCTAATAATTCATGGACCGAGTCTATAATGTATGTATAATTAATGGACCAAAACACCATTTTCCTTTTTTTTTTTTTTTTTTTTTTTTTTTTTTTTTTTTAATTTGAAATACTCAAAAGGTAGTATATGTTCTATACTAGAACACCAGGGTTCGAACATATGACCACCCATTTAGAATGGTAATCGGAATACCATTACACTACATGGGCAAATTATATCGTGCACCAAGGCGCACAATGCATTGTGCGTCCTGGCCCAACACGACGTCATTTTGTATCTTTTAATTCCATTTCCCGTTTCTGCCGTTAACTTCTGAAAAAAAAAATATCCATGTTTCGTATGTACAGAATTGTATAGCAGAATACACATAAACTCCTAACATAATACACATAAACTCTTAACACAATACACAAACTCTTAACATTATACACATAAACTCTTAACGTAATACACATAAACTCTTAACATAATACACATAAATACAAGTGTTAAAAAAATTGTAACAGAATTGGACGGACGAAACGATGTCCGTCGCGTCAACTCCCTACCAACTTATAGAAATATCGTCGTTTGAGGCCAGGGCGCACAATGCATTGTGCGTCCTGGTGCACGATATAACAATCCCACTACATGGTAATTGGGTCATATGTTATAACTTAGGAATAAGGTTCAAATAGACCACTCAACTGCGCACCACATTGCAATTGGGCCATCGAACTAAAAAAGAATGCAATTGGGTCCCTGAACGTCGCAAAATCATGCAATTCAATCCAAATTGACTTGTTTACCTGTAAAGGCGGTTACCGAATTTAAAAATATTTTTTAATAATTTTAAATAAAAATTACAATTAAAATTTTATTATAAAAAAAAAAAAACAGAAAACCCTTCGTCTCCGCCGGAGACCTTCTTCGTCTCCGGCGGTGATGAAGGGGTGGCTTCGTCTTGGGCCGTCTCCCCGGCCATGGAAACGGCCTGAGACGAAGATCCTTCCGTCTCCGTTCATCTCCGCCGGAGACGAAGAAGACTTCTTCGACTCCGGCGAAACGACATAGTTTTTTTTTTTAATATAAATTTTAATTATAGCTTTTTTTTTATTTAAAATTATTAAAAAATATTTTTAAATTCGATAACCGTCTTTCCAGGTAAACAAGTCAATTTTGGATTGAATTAAATTGCAATTAGGTGCGCAGTTAAGTGGCCTATTTGGCCCTTATTCCTATAACTTAATTGCATAACTCTTTAATTATTATTTGACAACATCAGTAAACCTATTAAATCATGTCACTTTTAACAAAAAATAGTAAAATTTTACTGACTTATCAAATAGGATCAGTAATACGAAAATAATTAGAACATCATTTTTATTATAGATTATAACTATCTATATCAATATTTATATTCATTATTACTACTTTTATTATAATAAATTGAAAATTTTCATTTTAATTATATTGAAATAACCATTTTATTTTAAAATTATACTAGGTATTTATTTATTTATTACTAGTATTTAGTAGATTTGTCAATTTTAAAATTTTCTGCCCTTGTTTCTCGAGTATATATTATGTATTGTGTCCTCCCAAAAAGAATCCAAACTCCTTATTCTATTTACTTGCTGCTTGATAAGTGAGAAGAGCTTCACGAAGACGGATAAGAGAGACGGAGATTTCTTTGTGTATACAGCAATACAGCATACACTCCTTTACAGTTTACTTACACACAATGCACCATTGAAGAAGTGAGGGCTAGAATAAGAAGATGGTGATTACACCTAATGCCTTGAATCCATTTGACCCATCGACCCATTTGCCAAAACCCCATCTCCGCCCTCCTAAAACCCTATTCTCTAACCCACCCCTTCCGCCGCCATTTCCCAGACATGCTGTTTTCGCCTCTAATTTGCGGCGCAGACAACGTGCCAAGCTCTGCGCCAAACCCACTCCACTTAGAATCACCGCTTGTAAGGCGTCTTCTTCAACGTCGACGAGTTCCAATGCAATTGGTGAAGACGCCGAGTCGGCTTTCGAGGTGTGTGCTCATCCTCATCAAATGGAACAATATAAAATGGGCCAATTTTCTGTTCTTCTTTCATACCCTGGATTTGTTCAGAGTTAATTCTGTCCCAGAGCTTTAGTTGCGCTGTTGCACCATTAAAACCAATTGATTTTGTTTTATCTTCTTGCATATGCGATTTAGGAAAACATTACCGTTGCAATACTTTTGACAATTTTGTCTTTCAGAGCTCAACAATACTCTTGAGTCAACCCCAAAAAGGCTCTGAATTTTAGACATTTCTTTAAGTAAGGTGAAGCATTGCAATCTCTGTACTAAATAAATTAAGCAGAAGAGTTGATTCAACCTTATGGGAATCAAGTATGTGCATTTGAATGAGGTTAATAATTAGATGACTTTTCTGGAATTGTATGCAGCCTAAACTGAAAACAGCAAAAAATGTAAAAAAGCTTTAATGATGACAAACAAATGCTAGTTTTGTGGAATTTTTTCTAAACCAATGCATTGGTAAACAAAATTTCAGAAGCTGAAGGAAGCTGAAAGAGAAAGGGTAAATAGTTTACAGGAGTTTGAAAGAAAGGCAAATGTTCAGTTAGAGAGGCAGCTTGTGTTAGCCTCAGAATGGAGCAGGAAGCTGTTGACCATGCGCGGAAAACTGAAAGGAACGGAATGGGATCCTGAGAACTCTCATCGTATAAGTTATAGTGATTTCCAGAGGTTGCTTAACTCAAACAATGTGCAGTTTATGGAGTACTCAAATTATGGTCAGACAGTTTCCGGTTGGTTCTCTCTCAGTGCCCATATTTGCTTATTATTAAGGTGTTTGTGGGCTTAAGTAGGGAAGGAGCTGTTTTTTTTTTTTTTTTATTTTTTTTTTTTTTTTTTTTTTTAATTTATTTTTATTATTATTATTATTTTTTATAATAAATAAACTAGTAATAATTTTAATTTTAGATTCCCTGTTTATGGTTAAAAGTCATAAGCTAACAAACATTGCATCTAATTTGTGAAGATTACTATTTCTGACTCTGCACTTCCATTTCAAGTTTAGTTGAGATGTATAAATCATAAACCTGTTACATTTTAGTCCAAGCTTATGAATATACTGTGAAATTAAAACTTGAGCAAAAGAAGTAAAAACAAAAGGAAGCCCATTATGGCTGATATTAAATTTTCGTATTTGTTCATATATTTATTAGTTTATTCAATCTTTCAGTAAAACATCTTTTAGTATGCTATATTTTTTTTTGAAAACTTTATTTATTTTGATCCTGTATGTAGTGTTTCTGCCATATTATGATAATGGGAAAATAACTTGTTATGCATGATATTTAATTTGTTGATAATTGGTATAAACAGACAGAGGCCCATTATGAATAATATTGAATTTATTGGTATCTGTTGATATATTTATAACTTTATTCCATCTTATCAGTAAGACATGTTTTTAATGTATTATATTTAATTATTGTTCTTTGAGTCTGTGTATAGTGATTCTGCCATATTACAAGGATGGGAAAATGGAAGACTTGAATGAGGATGAAAGAAAGGAAGTTGTATTCAGACGGCACATTGTTGATCGTATGCCAGTTGATTGCTGGAATGATGTTTGGCGGAAGTTGCATCAGCAACTTGTAAATGTTGATGTGTATAATGTGAAAACTGTCCCTTTTGAAGTATATTCAACTGTTGCAGTTGCAGTTGTGTGGTCTATGAGGCTTGCTCTTGCAGTTGCATTGTATATTTGGATTGATAATAAGATGAGACCAATTTATGGAAAACTAATACCTTGTGATTTAGGACCTCCTTCCAAGAAGAAAAACATTCCAATAGAAAATCGTTCTCTGGGTTCATTAGGAAAGAGCAGGTAAGTGAAAGCTAACTACTTCTTCTTTGCTACTGATTGTCTCCTTATATACTCCTGTGTTTCCTATTTCATTCATGTCATATAGGTTTAGCAAATGCTTTAGTATGTTCCATTCGGTAAAGCTTGTGATTAGGAATTATGGTTCATAATTCATAATCAACTCCAAGTTAATTGTGGACTTATTGACTTAAATAAGTGAAGGATTGTACAATCCATGATCCATTTTCAGAATAATATTTGCCAAGCATGTAAAAAGTAGAAAATTTTGTCTATAATTTCCAATCTGAATAACCTGTTTGAATAAGTTTTACTGAACTATGTACTATATGTATGCCTGTACTTGAATCTTTTCCAACCTTTGAGTTATAATGTTATATGTGCCTTCTACAAGTTGAAGGAATGAAATGATGGTCACCCTAGTGAGTAATTGGTCCTGAAATTAGGTGTAGGGAGATTAGATTGCAGCTGATTCCTTCAGAAATATGACTATTAAAGTCGAAGCTCTCTCACCTGCAGTCACTAATTCAAGTACATGGAAACCAATTGCATACTGCATCCTAGGTAGCACAGAAATGGGACATGTAACACATGGAAATGACAATTTTAAAAAATGTAGGACATGAAATGGTTGGGGGAGGGGAACATGCAAATATAAAAAATATAGCAGCATATTTGCCTATATATATTTTTCTTAAATATGCAGAAATATTTATTGTCTACCAGTTCCACAAGTGTATACACTATAAGAAATATGGGGGTATATAGGGTTTGAGCAAGAGATACAAACTCGTGTTTCTTTTGATTTTATTTTTATTTTTTAATTTTAAAAGTAGACCACTATATGTGCCTAGAAATGTGTTTCCTAAAATATTTCGCTTGAAACTGTTTTAATTATGGAAACAGCCTCAGAATGTTTTGGGAAAGTTTTTGGCGAGTTTTCGATATGGAAACATGTACGAAATGTGGAAAAACTCATTCCTAAGAGTTTCTGTGCAACATAGATTACAACCACTGAATTATGAAGTTTATGGGGTGTAATTGTATAGAGTAACACCTAAAAGTATCCTTGAATTACAAATTCTTTGGACTTCAAACCATTGTATTCAGAGTTGGTGTCTAAGATGTACTACTCCCAGGTCTATCTTGAAAGTTGAAATCTATTAACTGCTAGTCTATGCTAATATTCATCTCAAAAGCATGCTTTTGCCACCTTTTTGCTTTTTACAGATATTATTTTAAAATACCTCAGTGTTGTTTCTTCCTTGCTATATTAGGAAATGGTTCATTCCTGCCTTATATGTGCTTAAGTAGAATAAACTTTTAGTTAATGAATGCGGTGTGCTATATGAGACTTTGTAATTGTGTTTCAAAAACTTTAAATGCAACTAACTAAATACCAACACTTAATGCATACAGAAGTATGCACATATATAGCATCCACACAGACAGCCAGAACCCTTTAAGATCCTTCATAATACCTACTTGAAAATTATGATTTAATACCATCTAGGGTCCTCTGAGTATAGTGGTTTTGCCACGTTTAGTCCTAAACTTTCAAATTGACCACCCATGGTCCGTCGACTTTCAAATTGTTACCATCCATAGTCCAAGTTAACCACCCATGGTCCTTCAACTTTCAAAATTTAACCAGCCACGGTGTTCTTGGAAGGACCATGGGTGGTTAACTTGGACCACAGATGGTAACAATTTGAAAGTAGAAGGACCACGAATGGTGAATTTGAAAGTGTAGGACTAAACGTAGCACAAAACCACTATACTCGGAGGACTCTAAATGGTATTAACTCTGAAAATTATATATACCTACAATGTGTGCATGTGAAACCTATTGCACTTGAATAATTATGTAAGCCTAATAACTAAAAAGTAGATTAGCGTAATGCCAACTTGAAGAAAACTGTAAGTGAAGCAATTCAAGCTGCAGTGTTGGATTCAATTTGATGCAAAGCACAATCGTAAATGACAAGCTGGCCTAGAAAAATAGGGGAAAAATAAAGGGAATACTAGAAAAGAAGCAGCATGCTTGGTCAGTTGACTCTGCTTAGTTACATATTATAATTGGAAGTAAAAAACTTGAACCCACTTTTGGAGTACCCATTCTATTTTTCCATACTGTGGGTTTTCTTTACCTTACCCTCTAAAATTTTCTTTAGGTGATGCTTTTTGATGAAGATGATATTTAGTATTGCATTTTAATTTCTTTTCATATCAGTGCCGGCCTATGCACCTGCAATGTAAACTCAAACTCTGTAGGGGATTTCATTTACCAATGTGGCATTGAGTACTAAACTTTTACTTGATCTTAGGGCAAAGTTCATATCAGCAGAAGAAAAAACTGGGGTCACTTTTGATGATTTTGCTGGTCAAGAATATATTAAGAGGGAACTACAAGAGATTGTCCGGATATTGAAGAACGAGGAAGAATTTCGAGATAAGGGCATTTATTGCCCAAAAGGAGTGCTTCTTCATGGTCCTCCTGGAACTGGCAAAACACTTCTGGCAAAAGCCATAGCTGGTGAAGCAGGACTTCCTTTTTTCGCTGCTAGTGGTACTGATTTTGTTGAGGTGAGGGATTTTTCTTGGGTCTTTAAAACTCTTGTATTTTGATGACTAAATTTAAGAATAGAGGACTGCAATTTGGTGATGCGTCCATAGTCAATGGCTATTCTAGAGTGGACCTATGTTGCAGCTCTCTTGGAAGGGTTGATTTTGCTTACCTAACAATTGAAGCTAACTTCTATATATGGTTTTTATAACTGTTGAATAATTTGGAAGCAGCATTTGGAGTGGAAATATGAAATTTACTTAATTTTGAGGGGAGCAAGTTCAAAGGGGATCTTACTAAGGGTCTTATGAAGAATTTTCATGAGTTGTACATTGATTGTTTTGGATAAGAAAGGTTATAAATTTAAATACGTTTTTTTTTTTAAAAGTCCAAATTTGATTTCAAAAGTGAATAAGTTTATAGTTATGTCAATGTCCTATAGGGACCTCGTAGGCATCCCAGACCATGATTTTCCTCTTATAATATTCTTTTTTTTTTTTTTTTTTTTTTTGGTGAATGGGGAAACCCGCATCCACTACCCAAGGGTGTGCATTGGGTAAACCCCGTCTTGTGCCCCTAGCCAACAAAGGACTATAAGGAGATAAACTAGCCTAGGTTGCTCATAGCCGATTGACTCCAACCAAGAAGGCCAATAGGTCGCTCCTGTTGAGAGTCGAACTTGTAACCATATAGTTATCAAGTCAATAGCCTGGCCAACTTGGTTGGGGGTTGTCCCCAAAATGCAAATATTCTGTATGCACGTTTTGATGTTTTTCATTTATTTTATTTTATTTTTGTGAAAAACACATTAGTTATTAAAAGGAAGTTTCATTTTTTAAATATTAAAAGAAACATGCTTCTGAAGCTTCTTCCTCAGCATGTGTTTTTGGTGAGAAACCGAACTTATAAGATCTTTAAATAATACATTTTCTTCAGGTCTCTTATAATTTTTATAACATAAATGTTAAAATAAACATGCTCTTTAAGCTTCCACTACATTTTTAGAGATCTTTTAATGCCTGCTGCTTGCAGTTAAGACATAATGCAGTTAATTAACTAGTGAGAGTTTTGTAGATTTTTTTGTGGAGCCCAATACCCCATCTATTGTGTGCTGTAGTGACTATAATATGGGATATTGTTCTTGATCCTTTTTTATGTCCTAAAATATACAAGATCAGATATTAACTCTAACCGTCTGAGTTTTGGGAATTCACAAAATCAAATTTACAATGAGTTTGGGTTAAGCAACGATTGTTAGGGACAATGCTTTAAGTTCAATTTTTTTATTTTTATTTTTATTTTTTATTATTATTATTATTTTTAATTCTCTGGATTTATTATTACCTTAAAATCATGAGATCTTATCTACGATTCAAAGGACTGATCAATGATTGTTTGAAAGGCAATAAGTATAGGAGTCAAAGGATAGGTTATTTCCTTTCTTGTTATTTGATTTCCTAATGCTTGGGAATCTGCATATCATCTAATTTGAATAATTTTTCCAGATGTTTGTTGGTGTGGCTGCATCACGAGTAAAGGACCTTTTCTCTAGTGCAAGATCCTATGCTCCTTCCATTATTTTTATTGATGAGATAGATGCAATTGGCAGCAAACGCGGTGGACCTGATATTGGTGGGGTATGGTAATCCCAAGTCTCCTCTATCTTATGGATTGAAATGCATCTGTTTTACACCCTAATAGTATCTTCTAAGTGTGAACAGTTGGATATTGGATATATAAAGATACTGATAATTTCTTCCAAACTTGGTAGATGTAACTTTGAAAAACTTTTCATGATGACCTAGGAACTTTTGACATCTGACTTTACAAATAGTTGGGTGGAGGAAGTGTTTTGTGTTTTTATTTTTAATGTTCTTTTACGCATTTTATTTTTTGGGGAAAGAATAGGGCCAGGGTTGGGGGGTGGGGATGGTACACCCGAAAGACGATTTAGTAGACTTGCTTCCTCTCTACATTTTTACTTTCTTTATTTTTAAATTTTCATATCTATTAGTTACATTTTGTTAGATGTTAGCTAGAACATTGGGCTCATCCTATTGGCACCAAGTTACATTATGATTTACTTAATAAAGTGTTGACCTGACTGCTTGTTATCTGCCACAATAATTTTCTTTTCTAGGGAGGTGCTGAAAGGGAACAAGGCCTACTTCAAATACTGACAGAATTGGATGGATTCAAGGTTTCCACATCACAGGTATGCTTGTTTGGTATTATAAATAAATCATGCGTTTTATTATGACAGCAATTGGGGATCTAGAGTTTCCTAACTACTTTTGTTTACTTAGGTCTTAGTTATTGGTGCAACAAATAGATTGGATATCCTTGATCCTGCTCTTTTGCGAAAGGGTCGTTTTGACAAGATTATAAGGGTTGGTTTGCCATCAAAGGATGGTAGATTGGCCATATTGAAGGTGTGGTTCTCTAATACTTTTGGTTTTACATCCCCCCCACGCACACGGGAAGTACAGAAACTGTAAATATGTAAAGAAGTAACTAAGAGAAATAAATATTTCATTCTTGAATTTTAATTCTTGAAGCAAATATCATAGGTACATGCTCGAAACAAATTTTTCCGCTCTGAAGAAGAGAAGGAGACTTTACTGCAGGAAATTGCAGAAAAGACAGAAGATTTTACTGGGGCAGAACTACAAAATATACTGTACACTCTGTGTAGAACTGTAAATCACTGTAGATTTAATCATTTAGAGAAACATTGCTGACACTAATTAACTGGACAGGAATGAAGCTGGAATATTGACTACCAGGAAAGATTCAGACTACATAGGACGAGAAGAGCTTCTTGAGGCCTTGAAGAGGGTGGGTGATAAGAATTGAGATATGAAACTTTGGTATGTTTGCTTCACATGATACATTCTTATGTCGTCAATATTGCAGCAAATGGGTACATTTGAAACTGGTCAAGAAGATAGTACTGAGGTCCCTGAGGAACTAAAACTGAGACTGGCATATAGAGAAGCTGCTGTTGCTGTTGTTGCATGTTACATTCCAGATCCATACCGCCCCTTTACTGAGGTCATTAAAGATGTTGCATTATTTCAGTCTTATTTATCCTTAAATTCAATTTGCACTAATTTATTTACATATATCCCCTTGGTTTATTCTCTTTTCAGACTGATGTCAACTCCATCCGGAATCAGCCTAATATGCGCTATACAGAGAAGGCAGGCAGAGTATTTAAAAAGAAATCAGATTATGTGAATGCAATAGTGCGTGCTTGTGCTCGTGAGTAAAATTCTAGTGCATTTAGTCTCCTTATATCGTGTCTGAAAAGCTCTCGTTAATTTATTTGGAGTACAATTGTATCATAACTCTAGTTGCCTTGTGTGAAGAAATAAAGGGTTTCAAAGGTGGGTGGCGAATAAACACCACCTGCTGGAGGTGCTGAATCTTTGTGTAGAACAAGTAAAATATAGACAGAACATATAAACCAGTTCTATATTGGTGAGAAAGGTGATATGAGACTATGGGAGTCTAGGCTCTCATTACTGTAACTTATAATAATATGTACATTGTAATGGGCCAAACCAGAGTTTCTACTTATCTAATTCCGTATATTTATTGTAATGTATTTTTTTTTTCCTGTTGATTGTTCTTTTTCTTGGGTAACAAGGATCTTGAACATGCAGCCAGAGTCATTGAGGAAGAGATGTTTGGAGTTGACAATTTGTGCTGGATCTCTGCAAATGCTACTTTAGAAGCTTCCAGGCTTGCAGAAGTTTTGATTCTACAGACAGGAATGACTGCACTCGGGAAGGCTTACTACAGATACCAGAGAGATCTTGTGCCAAATGTGAGTATATCTAATTATCTATGGATTTGTTTCCTTTGACATTTTGGAATTTTGTGGTTTTGTGTATATTAGCTTTGTCTGGAAACTGAAGTTAAACAAATGATTTATGCTCTTCATTGCAGTTGGCTGCTAAAGTTGAAGTACTCAGAGATGAGTATATTCGTTTTGCTGTGGAGAAATGTACATCTATATTGAAGGAGAACCACGCTGCTGTAGAGGCAATTACAGGTTCAATTCAGTTATCAAATACCGTAATTAATTTTCCCTGATGCTGCTTGCCTCTCTATCTACCATCCTTGATGGCTGATGCCATTACTTACTGCAACTATGTTGTGTGCCTCTATATGTTGATAAGATGTTCTACTCGAGAAGGGAGAGATCAAAGCTGATGAAATTTGGAGCATATACAAAAAATACCCTCGAGTACCTCAGGTAGTTCTTGCACTACATGTTGATTAGTTGTGTATTTAATTTTTTTTTTTTTTTTTTGGGATAAGGATCAAATAAGCCCTTCAAGTATTCATGAAAGTGCAATTAAACCCTCGAACTAGAAAAATCTTCAATTAGACACTTGAACTTAGAAAAATAGTGCAATTAACTCCATTTGACCTTTTATTGCAGGTAACCTTAGTGTTAAAAGTGATTGGAATGCTACATCAATATGTTTTGATGACTTGAATGCCCAATGCACATAATAATAATAATAATAATAATAATAATAATAATAATAATAATAAATAATAAATAATAATAATAATAATAATAATAATAATAAGAACAACAACAACAACAACAACAACAACAATAATACTTTATTAAAATTAAAATATTAAATTATTATTATTATGTGAATTGGGCATCCAAGTCATCAAAACATATTGATGTAACATTCCAATCACCTTTAACTTGGAGGTTACTTACAATAACAACTCAAATGGGGTTAATTGCACTTTTTTTTTTTTTTTTTTTTTCTAAGTTTAGGTGTCTAATTAGAGCTTTTTCTAGTTCGAGGGCTTAATTGCACTTTCATGAATAGTTTAAGGGCTTATTTGACCCTTATCCTTTTTTTTTTTTTTTCATCTTTTGTTTTTAATTCCTATTAAGATAGGTTTTCTAGTGTAGCAGATGTGCATAACAATATAACATATTGGATGGTCCTCTGTTTGAAATAATTGAGTTTTGAGATAAGATTGCCTTAAATTATAGCTTTCAGACCACGGTTCTTTGATAATTATCATTTTGATATTCAGTATGAATGGTCATAATTTCTAACTGCACATACGAAGTGCACATTTGATAAGTAATTTATGTGTTTTCCCCATTTAACAATCATAAGAATAAAGCTAACTCATTGCTTGCAGAACATGAAAATACAGCGCAACTAGGAATAGACTGTATTGGGAATGATCATGCTATTGTAAACTTCAAAAGTCATAGCTTTGATATGTGTGTGTGTTTTTTTCCCTGAACACTAATTTGGAAGGATTTCTGATTTCTGGATTTTAATTCTTTATTTTTCAGCCAACTGTGAGGCCAATTGACGAATATGGAGCCCTTATATATGCTGGAAGATGGGGAATCCATGGTGCATCACTTCCAGGGAGGGTGACTTTTGCTCCCGGAAATGTTGGATTTTCAACCTTTGGTGCACCTCGTCCAATGGAGGTTAGGACTAAAAACACTTCTCATTGCTTTGGTACAGTTTCTTGTAGACTGAATCTTCTACTTTGTGTTATTTATGCACAGACACAGATAATCAGTGATGAGACATGGAAGCTAGTAGATGAAGTATGGGATAAAAGAGTTGAGGAAATTAAAGCTGAGGCTTCTTTGGAAGTTGAAGAAGATGAAGAGAAGCCTCAAGTTCTTCTAGCCAGTCATTTCCTATAGCATGTGATATTAGTTTTAGCAGGTAAACAAATCTGCATTTCTAATCACGCAAGTCTTTTGCTTATGTATGTGCAAGGGAACAAAATTGCATGGATGCTTCAATTTTCCTGAGATCATTCCACCATCGTAGAAATGCATCACATGCAGAAGCTTAATGATTAATATTGCTCAATTTTCTACTCCTATTATTAAAAGAGGAATGAAGCCAATATTGTAATTTGGATGGAGTACTAAAGAAAGAAGTTCTTTAATCTCATCTTCAAAAGAGCAATAGTTGCACTATGGGATAGGACTTTGTAGATTGAACCCTAACTCTATTCCAATCCTTTCCCTACTCACTAGTTTATCTCCATGTCTGAATTTTATTTTGTGTAGGATTTCAGTGGTTTTTATTTTGCTTGAAAGGAGATATTATCTACATGAACGAACTCATGGAGTGTTACAAGTGAGAGTTTAAACGATTGAAGTTTTGAGTTAGTACAGCACCGGATTTTATGATAGCTGCTAAAGCTGATACAGCACTTGGAGTTTAACTTCTTTTTTTGTGATAGCTTCTTAAAGTTGGTAGTGGGAGGGATATGGCGCAGAGGGAAAATGTACGGACTGTTCGTCTTCATCTGTAAGAATTTATAAAAATCAATAGGGCTGATAAGTGATAACTGTGGAATGAGTGATGTAATACTGTTTATATATATTATGTATATCACAATTACACAAACACAATGTAGTCTTGTTTACTACACCCATATTTTATGAGTGTGTATACTTATACTTAGCTTCCTTTCACCTCATTTTTGGTGTTAAAGGGATTGACAGTTATGTAGAAAACTTTACATTTTTTTCTCATTTACTATCTTAGATGCATTATTAATCTGGAGTTTCGATTAGACTGCCTTATAAACATTCATCTTGCATGGGGCTTGAGTTATTTAGATTTGTACCAAAGATCTAAACACTATAATCTGGGGGTGTGGTTGAGTGGAAGAGATTCATTCATCCTTAATCAAAGATCAAGAGTTCAATCTTTGGCTTTGGGTATGGGGCAGTCTTAAATCTATAGGTTAGCTGTCTCATTCAAAAGAAAGGGGTGCCTACAATTCAGTGAGGGGATTAGTCACTGTATCTGACGGTTGAAAACTCTGGTTACATAAAAAAAAAAAAAAAAAAAAAAATCTAAATACTGTACATATTACCTTTGGCTTGAAATCTTGGAATTTCAGAACTTTAGATTGGTTGGCTCCGAAGATTCTTTAAATTTATTTATATGGACAAATGAACATCCTTTGGTTTGAAATCTTGGAATTTTTTAGTACTTCTCAAAATGAACAAAATGAACATCCTTAGGCTTGAAATCCTGAGGTAAGAACATTGAATAATTTTTAAGAGTTTTTCTTCCCTTTAATTTTGTTCTTCTTTATTTAGCCAATAAATCCCATTTATATAGATGAGATATATAAGTAGCACTTCTAAGTTACCGTCTGGGCACAACGAGAGGTACAATACTAGTAGATGCATCATCTTTAGTATTACCATCAGTGGTAGTAATACTGTCAATAGGCCTGAACTCAAACTCCACCGTCTCATCAGTACTCTGCGTCTCACTTGTACTGGGAACTTTTCCAGAAGAAAGTAGTGCATTTTCGTCAAAAGTGATATCTCGACTCAGAATGATTTTCTGAGAATCAGGAGACCATAGACGATATCCTTTTGACTCAGAAGCATAACTAAGGAAAATGCATTTGACAGCTCTAGGGTTTAATTTTCCCGCACTGGAATGAGCATATGCAGGACATCCAAAAACTCTTAGATAGAGTAGTCAACAAGATTACCTGACCAAACTTCCTCTGGAATTTTGAAAGCAAGGGATGAATGTGGAGATCTATTTACCAAATAGCAAGCAGTAGAAACGGCCTCGGCCCAAAAATCACGCCGTTTCCATAACTCAGCATTAGAGAGCAGACACCGAGCTCTTTCCAATAGAGTCCTGTTCATACGTTCGGCAACACCATTCTGCTGGGGTTTACCAAGCAAGGTCTTGTGCCTAGCAATTCCGTCTGACTCACAAAACTCTAAGCCATTGTCTGTCCTGAGCTCCTTGACTTTTTTTCCTGTCTGAGTCTCAACAAGTATTCTCCACTTTTTGAAAATAAAAAATGCCTGATTTTTGTGTTTCAGGAAATAGACCTATACTTTACAAAAGAAGTCATCAATAATAGACATAAAATATCCACAACCTCCTATAGACTGGAATTTAGTCGGTCCCCATAAATCGGAATGTATATATTCCAATACATCTTTGGTACGGTGTGTAGCAGTAGAGAAACTAACCCGCTTCTGTTTCCCAAAAACACAATGGGCTCACAAAATTGTAATTTAGCCATACCTGAACCACCAAGGAGGAATTTCTTGCTCAAAAGATGCATGTCTTTCTCACTCATATGCCCTAGATGCATATGCCATAACTGAGTGAGATTCGCATCAGACATCGATGAGGATACCGCCACTGAACCTGTTATAGTACTGCCATGCAAGACGTACAAGCTTCCAGAACGAGAAGCTTTCATGAGAACAAGAGAGCCTTTTATAACCTTCAAAACTCCACCTTCAACTATGTACTTGCACCCCAGAGATTCCAAGGTGCCCAAGGATATCAGATTGCGTTTCAAATCAGGAATATACCGAACATTGGTAAGAGTCGTGGCAACGTTATCATGAGTTTTAATCAGCACACTTCCAATTCCACTAACCTTGCATTGGGTATCATTACCCAACAAGACAACTTCACCATCAACTGGTTTTAGAGAGACGAACCAGTCTTTGTGAGGACACATGTGGAATGTACAACCAGAGTTCAGAATCCACTCGGTTTCGCTCCGCTTGCAACCGGAGCTAATAGATAACATAACATCGCCTTCTGAATCACTTTCAAAAACACTAGCTTCAGCGGACTTCTTTTCTCTCTCTTGCTTGTTTTGCAGCTTGAAGCATTCAGTCACATCATGACCATGCTTCTTGCAGTACTTACAAGATTTGTTGGACTTACGTCCTCTGGACTTGGATCTAGATTTTTATTGCTACTCTCGATTTCAAGTGAATAACCCCTAACAGTCAAGCCTTCACCTTTGTCCTCAGACTTAATTTCAAAGTCAAACTTTTCTTTGGGCAATAGGTTTGACTTAACATTGTCGAAAGTAAGGGTATCACTACTATTACCATACAGCATAATTTATTTGAAATACTTGTATGATTTAGGGAGAGAGACAAGCAATAAAACAACATGATCATCATCTTCAATTACGACCTCAATATTCTCCAAGTCCAATAAATAGAATTGAATTCATCCAAGTGAGACTTAATAGAAGTACCTTCCGTCATACGGATTGTGTACAAACGCTCCTTCAGGCGTAGCGTGTTCGCCAGAGATTTGGTCATGTAAAGTGAATCCAGTACGGACCATAAATCTTACACAATCGTCTCACTTACTACCTCACGTAGAACCTCTTTAGACAGGCACAGAAGAATGGTTGAACGTGCCTTGTCATCCAAATCTTCCCAATCTCCATCTGTCATTGTAGCTGGTTTCTTCTTCTTCCCAGCTAACGCTTTCTTCAAACCGTTCTGGGTTAGAACGGCTTCCATCTGAGCCTTCCAGATAGAAAATCTAATTTTTCCTTCGAACTTCTCGATATCGAACTTGGCAACAGTCAACATCTTTGAAAATAATTCTCAATTAAACTGCTCTGATACCACTTGTTAGGAATATAGCGAAATAATGCGGAAGCGAAGAATCAAAAATTGAGAATTATAGAAGATAAATAATAGGGAAAATATATAAATGACAAAATAAGTAATTGTTAAATTGGGATAATATATATATATATATATATATATATATATATATATATATATATATATATATATCTAAAAACATAATAGGTTTCAATGATGGTTATATCCCTGGTATTTGTCCATTTTTTAACTGCTGATTGTCTTGTACATTGTCTTATTAATGTTGTACATTATATTTTTATTGCCAAAAATATCCAAACATATCTGTTACTGTTAAATATACTTAACTGTCGTTAAATATAATACTAAGCTATTATCGTTAGTTTTTCCTCCATTAATTTTAATCCTCTCCCCCTATCCTAGGTCTTCTTTCGCTCCTTCCTTTCATATTTCTAGCTATGCAGTTCTACTCATAAGCATAGATAGATTTCAACTCAACCTTCCGGAGGCTCAATATCATAGATGGAAAAAACCAAACCAATAAATTCAATAATTTTGCAGCAAAATATAGGCTATGAATTTTAAGAAGAGAGAGAGAGAGGGCAACCATCTTGGAGAGTCTTAATCTCCTTTTGGTATTCTTCTTACTAAGCAAATGGTGCTTCCCGGCTCTCCTCCTCATGATCTTCCCACTCCCGAACACCCGAAACTGCTTCGCGGACGGCTGCAAATTCAAAGAAACCCTAAAATTCAAACACTGATTCCGCAGAACCGCTCTCCATTTCAATTGGGGTTTAAAATTTCGATGAATTACCTTGTGCGTCTTCATCTTATAGCCTTTGGCGCACACTACGGTGAATGGCTTTGGGGGTTTTTGCAGCGGGGATGGAACATGGCCGAGAACGAGTGGCGTGGAGGTTGAGATGCTATGTGAAGAGAGCTAAGGTTGAGAGTCGGTTTCTTTGTGTAGATTGTAGAGTAAAGGGGTGATGGAGAGTCGAGAGGCGGAGAGTGGTGGGGTTCGAGAAGAGAAGTTGAATGACAGAGAACAGTGTAAGAGTGAAGAAGACGCCATCGTCATCGTCATTCCTTTGCTGCAAATGAAGCTTTGGATAATGGCTTTCCAATTTGACGCTTCAATGCCACAATTTTCTTTTTCCTTTTATTGCTATCCAGTATTCACTATCCAGTCTCCAGGTATTTTTTTTTTTTTAAGATCGCATTCAATCAATCAATCACTTCTATTTCCAAAAAAAAAAAAAAAAAAAAAAAAATCATTCCCTTCCTTCATTCTCTCCCTAAGAACTCTGTCAGACATTAAAACAAGGTACCCTATGCAGAGATTTCGGTAAAGGATTGAAGCAATTTGTTGCAAAGATTCGAGATTCCGTTAAAGAATTGAAGCAATTAAAGGGATTCAATGGGTTTGATCGTTGATCACTGTTCAATGTCCAAGTGGAGTGATTGTTGCATGTTTTCGGTTTATTTTTTTGATTAATTTTGTTAATTTCATGAGATTGGGATGACAATTCTACAATTTAGGGTAATTTGGTTGGCGTTAAATTGATGATTGTATACGAATTAGAACATAATTGAGATTGAATTTAATATTGAATGGTCTTGCAAATTTGCACCAAAATAATTAGGAAATATTGGCTACCGAGGATAAAATCAACTCATTGTTATGATTATGTCTACAATTAAGAATTTCTTGATTTATCTCCATTTATTTTATTTAGTTTTGGAATGTTGCTTGATGTTAGGAGGTATGTAGCTATTTAAAGATTTCATTGTACAGTGAAGGCACCACAGAACAATTGCTGCCTTTTATTTATTTTCTTCTCAAAAAATTTAGTATATTTCTCCATGCACAAGTTTCTTGAGAGGTTTGTTTTTCTCAAATAACTTTAATTAATTCTTTATGTTGTTAATTTGATTTTTTTTTTCCCTTCATGTGTATAAATATGTGATTGAGTAGAAAGAAGATTCTTTATTATAAATTTTGTGAAATTCATTTGGAAGATCATACGACTTATTATATATATCCCATATTTTAGGCTTATGTAGTTATATCACTTCCTGTGGTATCAACCTCCCCCTGTGGTGCACAATGCTTTCATGAATATCTTGTATTGCTACTAACATTGTTTATTGGGATTTGTCTATAAATTCAGTTGGAAGATCATTGGACTTTTTATCAAAGGTAAAGTCACTGTTTACTTATCGAAATAAATAAATAATCAATCTGGTATTCTTAGTGACTGATTGAATGTTGTGGTGGTAGAGGTTTATTAATCTCGTAGTAATACTATCTCCACTTTTTGTGAAACTTGGTTATGGAAGACTAGGTTCTTATATATTGAGGAGGGGAGGAAAAGAGCAAATTTTCAATGCTATAATAATATTCTTTAAGTCCTTAGAGAACATTCAAATTTACAACCATATAAGCAGCAAGTTAAAAACCTATACCGGCGTCGTCTTCTTCGCCACAGTCGTCTCTCCCTTCTGTGTCGTCTAAACCATCCACGCCGCAACATCTGCCAGAGCTGCCGTTTTCTCCTCCAGCGGTGGTGGCACCTTATCCTCCAGCGACGGTGGCACCATCTCCTCCAGGGACAGTGGCTTCTTCGTTGGATCCTTCTCCAACACCGTTGCCCACCTCGTCCGAAGTTCGTCCTCCTCGTTCCGTTCGAATTCGCAAGCCTAATCCTAAATATTTCAGTTCGTTGTTTGTTAATACGATTTTAGTACACCCATTACCTACTTGCCTTGAGCCTAACATTGTTACCAAGGCATTGAGAGAACCTTTGTGGCGTAAGGCGATGGACGAGGAATATGAGGCTTTGCTGCAAAATGGCACTTGGGATTTGGTGCCACGACAATCCAAACCGGTGGTTGGGTGCAAATGGGTGTTCCGAGTTAAACGTAAGCTAGATGGTTCGGTTGAGAGGTATAAGGCGTGATTTGTAGCGAAGGGGTATTTACAGTAGGCTGGCCGCGATTTTTTTGAAATGTATAGCCCCGTAATGAAGCCAATCACTATACTTGTGGTTGTTTCCACTGCTTTGCGTTATAATTGGCCAATCCGACAATTAGATATTAACAATGCTTTTTTGAATGGAACATTGACTGAAACTGTTTTTATGGAACAACCATCGGGTTATATTAATGTGGTTTTTCTGTCTCATGTTTGTCGACTTAAAGAGGCGTTGTATGGCCTTAAACAAGCACCACAGGCTTGGTACCTAGAATTTAGTCGTTTTTTATTGCGTTATGGTTTTCTCAAGTCACAGGCAGATAGATGCATCCTTATTTGTTTACTCTATTAACGGTGTTCTTATGTATTTTCTGGTGTACGTGGATAATATCCTACTTACTGGGAATAATGCTGTGTGTATTGAGCAGTGTGTGCGAGTGTTGTATGATGTTTTTGCGTTGAAAGATTTGGGGCCCTTACTTCATTTTTTAGGTGTGGATGCCATTTTAGTTGCGTTTGGTGTGTTTTTGTCTCAGTCACAATACATTTCTAATATATTGATCAAGTTTCATACGGATGGAGCAAAGCCAGTTTCTACGCCTATAGTTCTTCGGAGGTTCTGCCCCTCCCGGATGTTTCTACAGTTGTTGATCCTACTGATTTTCGCAAGCTTATTGGTATGTTGCAGTATTTGAGCATTACTCGGCCAGATGTTTCGTTTGCTGTTAACCGTTTTTCACAGTTTATGCATGCACCGTCTGCGGCCCATTAGTCTGCTGCAAAGCGTATTCTATGCTACCTAAAGGGACATTATTCCACGGGCTACTTCTCAAAGGTACTGCTTCTTTTTGTCTCACTGCCTTTTCTGATTCTGATTGGGGTGGTTCCAGCACTTTGGGTCGTTCTACCACTGTGTATGTTTTATACCTTGGTGGTAACATTGTTTCTTGGAAGTCGACACGTTAAAAGTCAGTCTCTTGGTCTTCTACTGAGGCGGAGTACCGTGCCCTTGCGAACACTACTGATGAGGTACTATGGATTCAGCATCTTTTGCGGGAGCTACAAGTGTCTTTGTGTGGCCCTCCTTTGTTACTATGTGATAATCTCATCGCTACGTATGTCTACAAAAATCATGTGTTCCATTCTAGAATGAAACACCTTGCCCTTGACTATTTTTTTGTTTGTGAGCTGATAACTTTTGGGGCTTTGGTTGTTCAACATCTTCCCTCTAAAGAACAGCTTATTGATTTCCTCACGAAGCCGCTAGGACGAGCATTGTTTCAGCTTTTTCGGTCCAAGATTGGAGTCTCCGACGGATCCGCCATCTTGCGGGGCATGTTAAACATGTGGCTTGAGTTAGTCTTCAATTAGTTTGTTATTCTCTTTTCTTTAGGCTTCAGTTGTGCTTTGTTGTAACTTCCTCTGTATAGCCCTATTTAAACCTTCTCTGTAACTCTTAGTTAATGCTAGTGATTCTACTTTCACACTGTCTAGCGGTGTGGGAGACCACGAGGTCGGGAAAGTTGGAAACGTCAATGGTGACGTGGAAGAGAGACTCGGCAACGGTGGAGATGGTTGAGAGAGGAGCCGGAGTCCAGACGGTGGTGTCCTGACGAACAGTGGCGGCGGAGACGGCGAGACGACGGAGGTGATTGCAGCGGAGGAAGAGTGGTTTCTCCGTTCCTCCACTTTGGTAAACAACCCTTGGGTTTCAAATTTCTTTTAGGAGCATAGTAGACTTGAGTGCCCAAAAACAAAATTTTGGGGGGAATTAAATTTTATTGAAATAATTTGCAGACATAGTGAGAGTAATCTTTCGTACCAATGAGAGTATACTTTTAAAATAAATATAAAATTAAAATTTCGTCACTAAATCACAAACTTTTAGCTATTTTAACCCTCACAAAAACTATGTAAATAATACATTTAGTGAGGGGTTTTGCTACCCATTACGAATTTTTTGTCACTAAAAACTGTTTTTCTTGTAGTGTATTCAAGTATTGGAAGTCCTATTGATAGGTCCAGGAAAGGTGAAGAAGCACCAACTGAGAATATGATGATGAATAGTTGGTGTGGAGATTAGGCCATAGCTGTTGTATGGAAATCTGTTGAACCTTGTATCATTTGTAATCATCTAGTGGAGTTGGATTTCACCTGTGTGTGGCCCCGCAGACGTAGGAGTGATTCTCCAAACTGCATGAACATATTCTGGTTCAATTTACTTTTCCTACACTGTTTTATTATTTATTCTGTTCCTAATATAATACTAAATACATATGATTAATTTGTTTTATAAACAAAGTAGAATCAGTTAGGTTTACACCTGCATTCAAGACTCACAATTTTCAGATATTATAGATTTGTATAAGTATTTAATATACATTTATGTTGTTCAAATACAAGGTAGCCTAGTTGGTAGGTCATATGCTTGTTATTTCAAAGATCACCTTGTATACATTTTAGATTAAAATTTTCCCCTCTACTCTGATGAGTGTTGAGAATCCCAACAGTATTGTGTGTGAATAATAATACGTAGTATACATACGATTCAGAGTATACAAATATACAAGAGAGACACAATAGTGAGTTGTTACCACGTGGTGGTCGGGCTGGTTGGGGTGGACGCGGAGCTCCTCGCTGCTAAATCTGTCGTAGTCATGGGCATACGGTAGTGAGTTGTTATCAGCGCTACAACCGCTACTTCGACCACCCAGCATCTCCCCAGGCTAATTTGGTTGCTCCGACACCTAGTGATTCCTCCTTTTTTTGGTTTCCAGACATTGGAGTGACACATCACGCTACCCCCTCTGAGAGTGCTATGACGGTGTCTGATGTGTATCATGATACTCATACTTTGCGGGTTGGTAATGATGAAGGTTTGACTATTTCTCGTATTGGCCATGTAACGATTCCCTCACCCTCTAGATCTTTAAAAATGTCAGATGTTTTAGTTGTTCCTGGTATGTCTAATTTACTATTATCCGTTTAGCGTTTTGCATGTGATAATAATGTATTTTAATTTTTAATTTTTTTTTTTTTTTTTTTTTTTTGTGAAGGACAACGTCACCATGGCCGTACTGCTTAAGGGTGTAGTCTCAGCTAAGTAGCCATTTGAGAATGCATTGTGTATATAAAGCTGTCGAAGAGTCCAACCACGTGACGCCACGACTTACATGGAAAAGGAAGGAAACGTAAACGAGGGATAAAAAAAAAAAAGGAAAGAAAGACGTGAAAAATCGAGAGAGGAACAAGAGTATAAATTTAATAGTGAAATGACCAACTTACTAAAATAAGTAACTTTTAAAATTGAGGTTAAAATATGTTAGATTATGTATTTGTAAATAAATTGAGAGCACATTAATATGTTAATTATATGCACATAATATGTTAATTATAAAAACATAATATGTTAATGGTATACACATAATATATTATTAACGTACTTTCAATTTATTTAGTAGCACATAATATGTTAATGCACACATTGCATATAATTTTATGATTATGGTTCACAATATAAGATAGATTATGGTCTATGGTATAACAATTGTGTAGCTACCAGCAATCCACATATATGATGTGTTGCATCCTGGTATTGTATTGATGACTTCACAGTAACGCTCATGCATGGCTCATGTTGTTGCTTCTGCAGCTTCTAGTGGTTGTAATTTTGGAGGTCCACTGGGTCGCCCGCAGAACAGAGGAAAGAACGCAATAATGTATTTAAAAATCCAGTTTACACATACATCTATATGAAACTCGATGGTCAAGGAATGAGGTATATAGTAGATCATATATGCAATCAGAGTAGCCGAATGAGAAGAGAAGTGTAATCAATTATGTGAGGCTGCAAAACTGGGCGGGAATTAGAGACGGAAAGGTATGAGGTGAGGATCAATCTCTTCTGGAATGGGATGCTGAGGTGGGAACTTGGGAAGAAGGCTAGCAATCCACTTGGCTGTCTCCAGGTACTTTGCATACTTGGATGATAAGGACAACCCCCCGGCCCCTTCATCTTTTATGATGGAACCATCAAATACGCCATTCCCATTCCCCAGAAGAGTCTCCTTCAGTGCCTTCTTCTTGAAACTCCACCCCCCTGTTTTCCAGTTGAAACTGTAAAGCGGAAGGAACCTCTGGGCGTAGATAGCCAAAAACTCCAGTGCTGCTATGGTAAACTCAAATTCTTCTTTTGACATGTAGTATGGAAAACTAATCCTTGTCCACCCTGGCTTTACTCCTGTGTACCCCTGCTGCCCACAAACAATTCCAATTACACCAGTTATAGTTTTAAGTGTTGGGCCGAGGCCAGTAAAATAGCCAAGTCTAGCACTCTATGGTATGGGGATTGTTGGGAGGAGGCTGGTAAAGAGTTTAAAAGGACAAGTGTCAAGTCCAGCACCCACCGTCTCAAAAATTAAATGTGATGACTGTCTATAAGGAAATAAAGTTGTGCAATTTGTTACTAACTATAACTTTTGGCCTAAGTGGTAAGCGCTTGATCTAACAAGTCCTATCATAACGATAAGGTCAAGTCTAGCACCCGGTGACTGTAATGACGGTCTAGCTATAAGGAAATAAAGTTCCGTCTTGGCTACTAAATTACCTTTTGAATGGCAGATCTGAAGGCAAGCGAGCGAGTTTGGTGAACGTTGAGCAAGCTGTGTCCATATGGCCCTGCACAAGCGCACCCTCCCCGGGCTTGGATGCCAAACAGGTCATTGAGTAGCTTGGCAACAAAAGGGCCATGGAGAGGCTTATCTCTCATGTTTCCACTTTCTCTCCATAGATAAAGTTGTTTGTCCTGACCATTAATGTCAGCTGATGAGGAGTAGGCGGTGGTGTAAATTAGGAAAGACAGGACAGCCTGTCTCTTTGCTGTTACATTGCCCAATACCCATATGTTTGGGTTTGGGAGCAGCCTTTCCAGGGCTTCATTAATGTACGTATGCTCCAATCTCTCTATCACCTTCTGCCCTATCAATTCCTTCACCCAAAACGCCAACGCTGCTCTGATTTTCTGGATGATGGGCGGCGTTCCTGCATCTTCCCTCTCTTCAATGTTCTCCACGTATAATGTATCCTGCATATATGTCGTTACATACATACATATATCTTATTACCATTGCAAACTAAATTATTTGTTACAACACATTAATTAACTTTCGTTGATTTATTTGCAACGAAATTAGCTAGGAGAAACTCATTGTAACCCATTTCAATTAGTTGCTATATTTGCAACGGAAAAGATACGAAAAAAAAAAATTGCAATAGAATTTGCAACGGAACTTAATCCATTGTAAAATTTGCAATAGAAAAATCCATGGCATAGTTTACAACGGAACTAAAATTTCATTACAATTGAGTTGCGACGAGTGTTTTACCAACATGATGCATTCTTTTGTAAATTTTGTTACAGATCGTCATTTACATCAAAATTTGGACTCTTTGAACAGAATTTTGTCCATTAAAATTGAGACTTTTTTTAATAGTGATATATGTCAATTATTTTTTTTAGTTGTCCAAAAGTATATCTTCAGCGATAGCTAAAAAACTAATCCTACTAATTAAAAAAAAAAAAAACAGAATTTTTTTTCTTTTCCAATGGTCAATAGCGAAACATACATGCGTGCAATCATTGCAAGCAAGTTGCCAAGTTGGCTTATTTATTGGCAGCGCGCGTCGTCAGAATATATTAGACATATTTATCAAATGGTTATTCTATTTACACCACCTATTTTACTATTTGCACCACCTACTTAGTAGGTCAAATAGCTTTATAGGTGGTGTAAATGCCAGCATTAAATATGGTCAAAAATTATTATTTATTTTTCTTTTTTTTTTAATTAAAAAAAAAAAAAAAAAAAAAAAAAAAAAAACCTTCACCCCGTCACCTTCTCCGGTGAGAAGGCGATGGACTGCCTTCTCACCGGAGAAGGCAAATGGGTTGTCTTCTCCGGCGAGAAGGCGACCCACTGGGCTGCCTTCTCACCGGAGAAGGCAGCCCAGTTGCCTTCTCCGGTGAGAAGGCAGTCCGTCGCCTTCTCACCGGAGAAGGCTATGGTGCTGCTTCGTTTTTTTTTTTTTTTTTTTTTTTTAATAATAATTAAATTTTGACCTCATAAATGTAGATTTAATAGGGTGGTGCAAATAGCATTTTGACCACCCATTAGGCTATTTGCACCACCCATATATTTATTATAATTTACTACCTTTTTACATTTTCAATGTGCTTTATACCTCATTTTAGTCAAAGGGGGTGTAAATAGCAACACCCTTATCAAATCAGCCCAACTGAACTAAATTCTTTCTTATTTGGTAAAAAGCTAAGTTGTCAATTGTTTTCTTTTCTTAAACCCAAAGCCGCCCAACTGAAAATTCTTTTCATATTTAGACGGATTTATCAATTCAGCCAGCGGTCAACTAAATGAACATTATTAGTGGCCGCCTGCCCGGAGTCAAAGTGGAATATTATGTTGTATTATGCAAATGCAATTGGGACTAGTTGTTTCTTTAGGGGTTTTTCCTAACAAAAAAAATTGAGGTTGATTTTTATACTAATAGTACTAATAGAAAATGTGATTTTATGAGGTTTTATTCTGCAAAATAAGTTTTTTTAGAGACCCCATTAATCGAGAAGAAATGGAAAAAGACAACGTGCAAGTGCATCTAATGCCTAATTGGCGCGTACACAGCTAAATACTAAATTATTCTTTTAATTTTTTGTTGTCAAGTTTTTTTTTTTCTCTCTTTTTTCTTTTCCCTCTCCTCTTTCTCTTCTATATGTACTTGACAAAAACTAGCCCAAAAACTAAATAAATATGATTGCTCTAATTACCTTCTCACTGTAAGGGTTGGCAAAATCGACGGTGCCGCCTCCACAAGTTGACGGCGGTGAAGATCCTAGTTGATATAGAATCTTGCTCATCATAAGGATTCCTGGTGTCCCTGGCCCACCCAAAAACTTATGTGGGCTCAGGAAAACTGCATCGTATCCGTCAATTTCCCCTGATCTCATATCAATCTTCGTATATGGCCCGCTGTTATTTCAAAATACATACAAACTCTACTATTAGACAATCCTTATACCATGGATTAGGGTTCTGTGAATCCTGGTGCATGTATGTATGTATCTTATGTTCTGAATTTTTGTATTTTTATGTTATGAAATGAAATTTTGTATTTTTAAAGTATAAATTATGTACTTTAAAATTTATTTTTTTAAATGCTACTAGCTCAATTACATTGTAGTATATGTTCAAACATACTTTCTCAACCTAAGATCTCATGACCTCCCACATGGGAGAAGCCACTACATGCAATATGAGCACAATGTGCTTGGCACTTGAAAACTTATTTAAAACAACTAATTAAATACAAATAGTATCAACCACACATATGTTTAACATTATGTATCTGAAATAAATTAAGAATTGTGTCTTATGTCATGATTGTGAAATTCTGTGCCTAAACACAAATTATGTACATAATTAAATCAAATTTAAAAAATAATTAAATATATAACATGTGTATATATTGTGTTGTAATTTTTGCATTTTGGGTTATGAAATTTTGTACCTTACAAGTATATATATTCTGTACTTATCCTGATTCATGATATAAATTGACATTATTAGAAGACATACATGTCGGGCTCTATATTATATTATATGTTATGTTAATTTCCAACTAATAATGACTTGCAAAACAATAGCAGAGAAATAAAATATATGCCGGCGGGGTTACCTTGCTGCAAAATCAAAGCAAGCGAAGGCTCCATATCGATGGAGAAGACGAGCGATGGCTCGGGTGTCGGAGTAAGTTCCGGTGACATTACTGCAGGCGGAGAATGAGCCTAACAGCGGCCTATTGGTTGATTTGTAGGACTCCAGCTTGAGCTTCAAGGCTTCCATGTCTATGAGCCCATCTTGGGTCAACCCGATCTCCACCACCTCCGCCAGGCTCTGCCGCCACGACAGGATGTTGGAGTGGTGCTCGTACGGCCCCACAAAAACCACCCATCTCTCCTCCTCCTTGCCCACCCACCACTCCACCAACTTTTCCCTAATGATTGAAGGGACTGCGATTCCCATCACTTCTTGGAGCCGTTTGATCGCCGCCGTCGACCCGGAGCCGCAAAATATTATGGCGTCGTTTTCCCCTCCTCCCATGCATTTCTTCACGTACTCCGAAGCCTCCTTCACAATCTTCGTCGTCTGGTATCCCACGTAACTGTCACTAGTGTGACTGTTGCCTGTTTAATTTAAGAATATATATATGATGCCATCCATTTTCTTCATATATATTGTGAAAAAAGAAAAAACAACACAAATAAATTTGACCAAACAGAGTCAGTCATGAACTAACCATAGAATGGAAGGACGTTGTTGATGATATAGTTCTCAATGTAGTGAAGAGAGCGGCCGGAGGCGGTGTGATCAGCGTAAGTGAGGCGGCGCTTCCCGAACGGCGTGTCGAACTCGACGTCACCACCGATGATCTGAGAGCGGAGCCAAGCCAGCTTCTTGTCGGCGGGAGCGGTGATGGGGGCGCCATTTTCGAGCTCGCGAAACGAATCAATCCGGCTAGTCGGATTCTCCGGCGCCGACGCTTTGCCGGCGCTACTAACTAAAGAATAGTTGGTCTTCATTCTGATCCCTCCGAGGTTGTCTCTCAACACCAGTTGTTCTCGATGATTTTCGAACTCCATATGTGTTGATGATCTGACTGCAATATTTTTTTTTTAATTTTTTTTTTTTTTTGAAAGGATCTGACTGCAATATAAAATGGGTAGACAGAGGATTTAAGTAGACAGGATATGATACTGCTTGCTTTGATATGGGAGGGAGATAAACACGTTATTTATAGTACTTTTGTAAAATATAAATAAAAAATAAAAAACCGTGGGTCAAATAATCGAAGACATTAAAATATTACTTAAATCATTATGCCCGTAGAAATAATGTATTCGTCAATCCACGGCAAATTATGCTATGGACCCCGTATCCACCATGTGTATGGTGGACACGCTGTACATTCATAATTTATATATTACACATTCATAATTTCTATATTGTAAAATTCATAATTTGTAATAGAAATTCATAATTTCTAAACTGTATATTTATCAAATTATGAAAACATAATTATCAAATTATGAATTTATAGTACAGAAATTATGAATGTGCAGTATAGAAATTATGAATCTACATTATAAATTTTATGAATTTATAGTATAAAAATTATGATCAGTATAGAAATTATGAATTTAGAGTATTAAATGGCTGAAGTAAATCACAATGTATTTTATGCACAAGACATACAAAACATTATATTGCATAACTAGACATTCTCACTCATGTATTTCATGGACAAGCAAACAGATCTTGCTTCATATTTTCAAAAAATACATGACCAAGAGAAATGGTTGGATTGCTAAACTTAACAAAATGTCTCCCAAGGTAGAAAACATTTATCAGTCACTATTCTTTCCATATCCCAAAGTCTCAAACTGCACAAAATTCCAACCTAACAATTGGACCATCCCATCCATCCCGTGAGCACACAGCCACACATATGAAGTTTATGTACATATAACAACAAATATATACTCGCGGTGGGTGAAGGCTAATATGAAGTTTCAACTGTCAAAATTCAACAAAATAGCAAATATAGATAACAAGAAACACTTACCGGCGGTGGGCGAACTGGTCGGCGGCTATCTGATTGCAATATTTTTTTTTATTTTTATTTTTTATTTTTTTTGAAAGGATCTGACTGCAATATAAAATGGGTAGACAGAGGATTTAAGTGGACAGGATATGATACTGCTTGCTTTGATATGTGAGGGAGATAAACACGTTATTTATAGTGAAATTTCTATTACTTTCGTAAAATATAAATATAAAAATATAAAACCGTGGGTCAATAATCGAAGAGATTAAAATATTACTTAAATCATTATGCCCGTAGGAATAATGTATTCGTCAATCCACCATTCCACCATATAACAAATATTAGTTTTTTTTTTTATGTGGTTTGCGCGAATGAGATAAAACGATTCTTTTTAAATAAGTATTTTAAAGTATATCAATGTAATATTATATAGGAGATGTTTATACATAGGTAAATAAATGTTGAATTTATTTATTTAAATCGGTAATTTAAAGTATATAACTTCAAGATAATATATGAGAGATTGTGTAACACGCCCGATTTTTATGCCATTTTAAAACTTAAATACGTAAGGTAAGGTAACTAACAGATAACATAAAACGTAAGCACAGCGGAAGTCCAATATAAAAACAGGGAAAACCAAGGAGTGTTATGCCACATTCACCTCAACGTGAATGCACAGGCAAGTATAAAACCATCAAACTATTTTGTTCAACAACCGTGGCACACAGGCCAAAACACTAACTACATTGTTCAAGGGAGCTATACTACCAACAGCTATCGCACTCGCCATATCTACTCAGGACCTGTAAAGCACATAAAGAAAGGGGACGACGCCCGGTCAGCGAATATTGCTGGTAACCCATCAATACGCGTTCAATAGCATATATAGATAGTATAATCAAAATCATTTTCGAAACGGAATACAGTATATATCAATTCAAGTCAAAGAGAGAAGTCAACTGCAAAGACTCTATTTCACTCGCAAAAGAACAAGGGAAATCAACATCCCAAGACAACATCAAGACAAGACAACAACAGCACAACTCAACAGAGCTCAAGATGTAATCTACTAATCACAAAGTAGAAGACATCAAGGCAAAGACAAAAACAATAATCAAGTACAACTTGAGGCGTATTCTACTACTGATCACAAAGTAGAATACCACTCGACATGCTCATCAAAAAAGAATAGACATTACTCATTGGCACTACATGCCACCGTGACACTTCATGTCACATGTTCCAACCTTATGGCTACCCCCGGCCTTATTACGGTTCCAACCTTTACCTCCGAGTGCCACCCTATACTTCCAAGTCCAACCTTTTGCCTCCGGGAACCGTCGTTCCCCCTCCAACAACCGCCAATCAATACCGTCGAACGCTCAGTACACGAGGGTACATAGCAAGATCATATCACAAAACCGCCAAACATGTGAGCTAAACTCACGATAACAAACCACCAAACTCAATTCATGGCCACCACAAGGACCACATCTGTACCATGGTGATTAATGTCTCATACCATTAGCCGTGCAATCAAGGTACAGCCAATTCACACGTTTCATAACAGGAATCAATCAATGGATCACAACAAAGATATGAAACCATACTCAATCAAGGAAGGACTACAATCCGACTCCAAACAATGATCAACACAAGTTGTCATTCTCACAAGGGAAGAACAAACCGCACACACTAGCATTTCAACATCAAACTAGCATGCTTATCAAATGGGTAAACCAAATATAGTTCCGAAGAACATACAAGACTCATCATGGTACAACGAATCACAAAGTTGAACACTTAGCACGATTCAAGACACCATATCCTACATGGGATCACAACATACAGTTCTATACCTACGAAACATCAAGAAGACACTCAAATAGCTCAACAAAACAACATCGGCATGTCAAAACATCAATTACCGAGTCAAAAGAATCATGGAGAACAAATCCCCGACTGACCACCATTGTGTACCCCGCGGGTGGGGCCACGGGTGGACCCCCACCCATGGTCCCGCCCGCGGGAACCATACTCCAAAGCCAAGTGTACCCCGCGGGTGGGGCGGCGGGTGGTTCCCTGCCCGCCGTTCCGCCCGCGGGTACGTCCTGTACCACAAAATAATTCCTTCGGGGATTTTCAACAAGTCCAAATTCAAGTCCAAAACACCCAAAATCTCACAAAATACAACAATATGACTTGAATCCAAGAAATATCCAAGCAATGGCATACAAGAATCCTAATAACAAGCTCTAGATATGCATTCTCACAAGACAATGCATCAAAACTCACATTTCATAGCAAAAATAATAAGTAGAAGTCAAGAAATCATCATATAGGTAGGAAAATAGATTTTGTAAAGCATGAGTTACCTTTTGTAGTCTAAACCTTTACTTTTCACACCCTTAAAGCTTCTCCTAAGCTCTCCTTCAACTTCAACTTCAAGAACACACCAAAAGACAACAAAGATTCTATCTTTTAGAAAAGACACCTAAAAAGGTACTAAAAACACTAAGGAATCAAGGATCTTACCCTCCCTTATGCTCAAGGTCAAGAAAGTTTGAATCTTGGAGACCAACTTGAAGAATCTAGGATTGCCCAAAACTTGGCTTGAAGAAGAAGCTAACAATTTTCTAGAGAGAAGGTGGAGTTTTTGTGTTTAGGGTGTTAGGGAAATGAAATGAAGGATGACTCTAGGTTAGCTTGGAACACAAACATAAGGTGAAATGACTACTTTGCCCTTACTAAAGTGGGAAGAGTAAGGAGACAATGGAACAATTCATAAAGCTTAGAGTACAACACTTTGACTTGGATTGACTAGTCAATTTCTAGTCATCCGACTATTGAATTTTCAGAATTTTAGGAATAAATTATCAATTAAGCTAGGATTAATTATCTAATTAATCCTTAAATAGAATTTGGATTTACGGGGAGTCACAGATTGATTATAATTATCACTAAAATAAATGTTTACAACTTTATAATGCAAGTCTAAATACTTAGTCTTAAAGTGATATGCTAAATAAATACTACTTTTGGTTTAAATTTCTCTAATTCTTCTTGATTCTCTTTTGGATAACATTGTCATTGTTTCCATCTTCAGTACATGTCCTTTTTTTTTTTTTTTTTTTTTTTTTTTTTTTTGGTAGTGTGTCATGTGCAATTATGTTACTGGTGGCAGCATAGAGAGATTCATTATGCAACGAGATTAGGGTGTAAGAAGTTTTAGTTTTAGTTTTAGAAGTTTTATAAGACTGAGATTTTAGTTGTAATATGAACTCTTTATCTTACAAACACCTATTGATATTTGGTAGTGGTAGTTTTTCCCCTACATGTTTCATGTGTCGTGAGATGTGTGTTGTAGGTTATTATGTGAAAGTATTTGAACAAAATATTAATATTTATTATATTTATATAAAATACTTGGTAAATATATATATATATATATATATATATATATATATATAATATGTTTTGTATTATAACTTTGATATTTAATTACAATATAATGTAAAAAGAAGAAAATGGATAATGTAGACGCAGTGAATATAATAAACTAATAAATTTGAAGGTAAGGAATCTTTGAATTGTAGAAAATAAAAATAATATAACTAATGAAATTATATTTCTTTTAAATTTTTTTATAATGAATAATTTTTTTTTTAAATAAAGCATTATAGACATCTAATTCTAAATTAATTAAATGCATATGTATTATTTTTTGTTGTAGCTACTAATTTTTTTTTTAATTTAATAAGAGTAATAAAGTGTCGTACATACTTTTTATCAACAATAATGAAATCAGTGATTATTTTTTTTTTAAATTTCCATTCCTTGTCAGACAAATTATTTTGAAAGTTTGTCAATGACAATTGCTACAATTGTTATCAATAGAGGATGATAATAAATAATTCATAATATATGGTTACAATAGATATTGTTATAATGATATAGTAAAAATTAACTTACAAATTTCTTTAGAAGTTTTTATGCATTGATAAAATTCTGATGTGTAAACTTGTTCAATTGGAGCTAGTAGGATGTTAACATTGTCAATTATTTGGAAAATGGTCCTACCGTCTTAGAGTCTATATGTAATTGTATTTATGATCAACAACTTTGTAGTTAGGCCGCGCAAGTCTGACAAT